GCTCTCTATATCTGACGAACTAGATATATCTATAACTTCTTGACAAGTTCGCGCGTTATGACCAGCTTTTCCACAAGTTCTACAGCGCCGCCTAGAAGGTTGCCCCTCCTTATAACCAACCCCCGCCTCACGCATGTCGCGTCGTACTTGCTCATCTACATCCTCCTGAGCTAACATATCCTGTACATCCTCTACTATAAGTGCCCCTCCTTGGCGGACACGAGTCTTTTTAGCCCTACGGCGTTTACTTAGGGCTTCATTTGCAGCGCGAAGGGTACGGACCTCAGCAGACAAAAGGGTCATCTCATGTGCCATTCGCTCTGTACCCTTTGCTAACGCAGCAACTGTTTGAAAAAGTGGAGTTGGCGAGCTTCCTTGATGACAGGCTATACGATTTCGTACAAGAGTTGATTGTGAAAGGGCTTCAGTTGGGTTGGAAGGGGTCTGGGACACCCAGGGGAGGGAGTTGGCACTACACGTCCGAGGGGGAGTTGGAGTCCGTAACCTTACGTCAAGCTTTGAAAGCACTGCTTGCGGGTTAAATGGTACTAGGCCAGCTCCGCGGAATCCAGACTGACAGTTTAGGACTGTCATTGTTTCCTTGTATGCTGCTGTAAAGGCTAGAAAGAACTCAACCTTTGTAATATGGTTGATATGGGCCTTGATAAACGTCTCAATCTGCCGACCATACGCTCGTTTTAACACACTATAGCACCCAACATCAAGTGGCTGGGTTAGATGGGATGAATGAGGAGGTAGTCCAAGAGTAATAATGTTGTGTTTCGTACAGTAGTCTTGGAACTCAGCCGATTCATGACTCTCGTGCCCATCCAAAACTAGTATTCGATACAGACCCTTTGCACGAGCTGTAGTGTGTTTATCAAAGTGCTTTAACCATTCCAGGCCTGTTTCATTATTTGTCCAACCATTGCTTGTCGGTTTCATAACCCAGTTAGGTGGGAGGCCGCCGTCGGTATACCAGTTGGAGAGATGGTTCTTGCCCTGAACTACCAAGAATGGAGGAATACTCCAGCCCTCCCCATTAATACAGGCAATTGCTGTAGCCCATTCCCGATTGCCTGGCTGAACTGCCTTGCCTCTACCACGTCGGTCTGCACGAGTAACAACCATTCTAGGACAAATAACACCCATCATAAAGCCTGTCTCGTCGAAGTTGTAGAAGTCGGAGTCTGTAACCCCATATTTCGCCCTCATATTCTCTACTAGCCGGAACCATGCGCCTAGCACGTCAGGATCTTCGCATAAGGCCCTCTGGAAGTCGTAAACGCGATTAAAACGCGTCTTAAGGTCTGGTTGTCGTTGTACGAATCGATGGGCCCAGAGCTTGCCGACGCGTCTTCCCCCCCGCGATTCAAGGATAAAATTAGCCATATCTTCTACACCAGCGAGCCGGGGCGCAAATCCTCTGGAATCCATATCCAGTATATACCGAATAATCACTTCCTCTTCTAACTCAGTCAACTTATGACAATTGGCTTGAGAATCTGGGCGGTAGGTTCGGCCAGCCATTCTGTCGGAAAGAGTCGTATATGGTACATTGTAGATCTTTGCCGCAGAGCGTTTGCTTAGTTTTTTGGACGACCGAATAGCCTCGATAGCTAGAGTAATTCGCGCTTCTTGAGTTTGAATTTCCATGGTAAATAGTTGAAGAAAACGTGTGTTGAAGTTTGAGGAGGTAGTGCCAAGGAAAAGTGATCGACTCGCTGATATGATCGACTCGCTGATAAACCACGTTATATAAAATACTAAGAATTATATAATTTAGATTTATTATTCCGTTAAACTATTAAAGTATTATTAAGGTTATACTTTAGTTCTATATCGCTCGCTTAGCGATATTATTATTATATATACTAAAGGTATAACTTATCCTTAAACCTTCATAGTAGTAGGCTTTAATAGGTAATAATTACGTACTTATAGAAGTCCGAGAATCGAGTATAAGTCCGATTAATATTCGAGTATAATTATTATACTTTAAAGAACTCGAATAAGTTAATTAAGGAGTCGAGTATTAAAGATAATAATATAGGAGATTATTATATACTACCTAAACTTATAGTAGTAATCTCTCTAATCTATACGCGCTTACTAATTAGTATTAGTACGAGAGATACTTGTAAATAAGGGCTAAAATAATAGTAATAAAAGTTTATAAAAGTAGGTAACGTGCATGTATAGCGAACCGGCCAAACAAGCGAACCGGCCAAAATTTTCTACACTCGCGATTGAAATTGTAAGAACTCTACCACAACGCCTCTAATTAAAAAACACTATTCAGAAATTTCTTCCTCAGATACTTCCTCTATAATATTACAGGTGCGCGTATTATGACCAGTCTCTCCGCAGTTGCCACAGCGCCGTGCACGTGATTCTTCCCTCGGCTTCCGACCACTACTTCTCTTTATTTCCTGCATTATCTGCTCACCAACGTCTCTATCATCCTGTAGATCCTGCGCTTCCTGTTGACTAAGTGATCCTCCTTGCTGTAGGCGTGTTTTTTTA